CTATGGAGATGAGAGATGGGGAGGATGAGACAGGAGAGAGAAAGACGAGAGATAGAGGAGAGACGAGGGAGGATGAGACAGGAGAGAGATGAGAGATTAGAGGGACAAGAGCTAGGAGAGACGAGGGAAGAAGAAACAGAAAGACGAGAGAGAGACGAGAGCTATGGAGATGAGAGATTAGACGAGAGCTAGAGGAGAGACAAGGGAAGAAGAGACAGGAGAAAGACGAGAGATAGAGGAGAGATGAGAGACGTGAGCTATGGAGATATGAGAGATTGGAGAGACGACAGATAGAGGAGAGAGATGAGAGAGCTATGGAGATGAGAGATAGGAGAGATAGAGGAGAGATGAGGGAGGGAGAGAGGAGAAATAGAGGAGGAGAGACGTGAGCTATGGAGATGAGAGATTGGAGAGACAAGCGATAGGGAGATGAGGAAGAGACAGGAGACGAGAGATAGAGGAGGATAGACGTGAGCTATGGAGATGAGGGAGGGAGGGAGAGAGAGAGAGAGGAGACACAAGGGAGGAAGAGACAGGAGAGAGAGGAGGAGAGACATGAGCTATGGAGATTGGAGAGACAAGCGATAGGAAGATGAGGAAGAGACAGGAGAGAGACAAGAGATAGGAGAGACGAAAGCTATGGAGATGAGGGAGATGAGAGATGGGAGGATGAGACAGGAGAGAGACGAGAGCTAGGAGAGACGAGGAAGAGACAGGAGAGAGACGAAAGCTATGGAGATGAGAGATTGGAGAGACAAGCGATAGGAGAGACGAGGGAGGAAGAGACAGGAGAGAGATTGGAGAGACAGGAGAGATAGAGGAGGAGAGACGTGAGCTATGGAGTTGAGATGAGAGACTGGAGAGACAAGCGATAGGAGAGACGCGAGACGAGCAAGGAAAGAGACAGAGACGAGAGATAGAGGGGAGACGAGGGAAGAGACAGGAGAAAGACGAGAGATAGAGGGGAGATGAGGGAGAGGCAGGAGAGAGACGAGAGCTATGGAGATGAGAGAGACAAGAGATAGGAGAGATAGGAGACACGAGGGAGGATGAGACAGGAAAGAGATAGAGGAGGAGAGACGTGAGCTATGGAGATGAGAGATTGGAGAGACGAGGGAGGATGAGACAGGAAAGGCGAGAGATAGAGGAGGAGAGAGATGAGAGATTGGAGAGACGAGCGATAGGAGAGACGAGAGCTATGGAGATGAGAGATTAGAGAGACAAGAGCTAGGAGAGACGAGGGAAGAAGAGACAGGAGAGAGACGAGAGCTATGGAGATGAGAGATGAGGAGGAAGAGACGAGGGAGGGAGACAGGAGAAAGAAGAGAGAGAGAGAGAGACGAGGGAGAGAGAGACGAGGGAGAGAGATGAGAGATAGGAGACACGAGGGAGGATGAGACAGGAAGGAGACGAGAGATAGGAGGAGAGAGACAGAGAGGAGAGACGAGGGAGGATAAGACAGGAGAGAGAGGAGGAAAGACATGAGAGAGAGGAGAGATAGAGGAGGAGAGACGTGAGCTATGGAGATGAGAGAGATGAGAGACTGGAGAGACAAGCGATAGGAGAGACGCGAGACGAGCGAGGAAGAGACAGAGACCAAAGCTAGAGTAGAGATGAGGGAAGAGA